TCTCAAGGAGATTTAGAGAAGGTTTAGACCAGATTTTTTATTTCTTTCAGAAACAAAACAAAATTTTAATTTTGTTGAGCAATTTCAATTACATTTTGGTTATGATTTGTTATTCACGGTGGATCCGTGTGGTTCTAGTGGAGGACTAGCTTTATTTTGTAATAAAAGCTTTGATGTTAAAGTTACATTTTCAAATAAAAGGATTATTGATATTGAGGCTCATGTTGAAGGAACATTAGTGTATTTGTCATTTGAATATGGAGATCCAGTTAGAAAATTAAGGGATCAGGTTTGGGAGCGGTTAACAAGAATAAGTTTAACAAGAAATGAACCGTGGTTTTTAATTGGAGATTTTAATGAAATAATCGGAAACCATGAGAAACAGGGGGGGAAAGTAAGACCACCGTCCTCCTTTGTAGATTTTAATACTATGATTGATAATTGTGGATTACTTGACTTTCCGAATCGCGGAAATACACTGTCTTGGAAGGGGAGACGGAACGGTCAGAATGTACGATGTCGACTGGATAGGGGACTGGCAACAGAAGAGTGGCATGAATTATTTCCATTTTCTTATATGGAATATCTGAAAATGGTAGGATCAGATCATAGACCAATTATAGCAACAATTGAATCAAAAAAGATAAAACGGAAAAACCAATTTCGGTTTGATAAGAGATGGATTGGACAGGAGGGGTTAATGGAGGCCATAACATGGGGATGGCAGGAGCACAACACCTCAACACCCCAGTCGCTGGTGAACAGGATTGCCAATTGCAGACATGCAATCTCACAATGGCGACAAGCCAATAGACCATATGGGAGAGACAAGATTGAAGGACTTCAACAACAACTGGAGGATATTCAGTCAGACAATACACGCACCCAAGATGAACTAAATGAGATTACTCAAAAACTCAGGGATGCATACCGGGACGAGGAAGAATTTTGGAAACAGAAAAGTCGGACTCTTTGGAATAAATGTGGGGACCTAAACACGAAATTTTATCATGCTACAACAAAACAGCGGAGGGCAATAAATAGGCTCATCGGATTGTATGATTGTAATGACACGTGGGTAAGTGGGGAACAGAAGATGGGAAAGGTGGCAGTGGACTATTTCTCAGATCTATTTACGTCTACCTCACCAACAGAATTTGAGGACATTCTGGGGGAAATAAAGGTGGAAATAACGGACCAAGAAAATGAGGAGCTACTCAAACCGGCAACGGAAAAAGAAGTCAAAGAAGCACTTTTTATGATGCATCCTACAAAGTCCCCAGGACCAGATGGCATGACTGCCTTGTTTTTTCAAACATCATGGAATATTATCAAGAGCGCGGTAGTGCACCAAGTGAATCAATTTTTTCAATCAGGGACTTTGGATAAGCGTTTAAACCAGACTAATATCTGCCTCATCCCAAAGACGGAACGGCCAATTAGAATGACGGACTTACGTCCCATAAGTCTGTGCAATGTAGGATATAAGATAATATCAAAAGTCTTATGTCAACGGTTGCGACAATTATTACCAAAGCTGGTATCAGAGACACAATCGGCCTTTGTGTCAGGAAGGCTTATTTCGGACAATATTCTAATTGCACAGGAAATGTTCCATGCGTTACGGACTAATAAGTCTTGTAAAAAACAATTTATGGCTGTCAAAACAGATATGAGTAAGGCATATGATCGGGTGGAATGGCCTTTTATTAAACAAATACTCTTGAAATTGGGTTTTGCGGAGAAATGGGTCAATTGGATCATGTGTTGCGTGGAGACAGTTAAATATAGAGTGCTTATAAATGGGAGCCCAAAAGGATACATAAATCCAAAAAGAGGACTAAGACAGGGTGACCCATTATCGCCTTACCTTTTCATCCTCTGCACAGAAGTATTGATTGCTAATCTGAAGCGAGCGGAAAAGAATAGGCTTTTAACGGGGTTGAGGATTGCACGAGCGAGCCCAACGGTATCACATTTGTTCTTTGCAGATGACAGTATTTTCTTCTGTAAGGCCACAAAAGAGGAGGCAGATGTACTTTTACACCTCTTGAAGCAATACGGACTAGCCTCGGGGCAACAAATAAATTTTACAAAATCATCAGTTCAATTTGGTCACAAGGTCTCACTAGAGACACGGGAGCTGGTACACAATAAGTTAGGTATTACTAATACTGGGGGGATGGGTTCTTATTTGGGGATTCCAGAGAGTGTGGGAGGGGCTAAAACAAAGGTTTTTAACTTTCTTCTAGAAAGACAAAGAAAGCGGGTAAATGGATGGACATCTAAGCTGCTATCTAGAGGAGGGAAAGAAGTACTAATTAAGTCAGTACTCACAGCAGTTCCGACATATACTATGTCTTGCTTCAGACTACCCCAGACTATTATCACTCAGCTTACAAGTACCATAGCCAAGTTTTGGTGGAGCTCAAACGGACAAACAAGAGGAATGCACTGGATGGCCTGGAATAAGTTTATGTAAATCAAAGCATGAAGGAGGACTTGGATTTCGGGTGGTTAAGGACTTTAACACAGCACTATTGGCGAAACAGCTATGGAGACTCATAGACTACCCAGGATCGTTATTTGCAAGAGTGTTTAAAGGGAGATATTTTAGGGATGGCACACCTCTGGACCCGATAAGATCATATGCCTCGTCGTATGGATGGAAAAGTATCATAACAGCTAGATCTTTGGTACAAAAAGGGCTTATCAAAAGAGTTGGATCAGGACATTCTATCTCGGTATGGAATGATCCATGGATTCCAACATCACGCCCGAGATCAGCAATTTGCAAAGGGTTTAACATATACCCGGAGCTAACAGTCAATCAGCTGATTGATCCTGTAACCTCAACGTGGAATATTCCACTACTTGAACAATTGATAGTACCAGAAGATATTCCCCTGATCACTGGAATGGCAACAGCACGGGAACAATGGAAAGACAGATGGGGCTGGAATTTTACAAAGACAGGAAGGTACACTGTCAAATCGGGGTACTTGACAGAACAATTGTGTCCTGATAAGGAAATTTCAAGAGTTTATGGACCAGATATCAGCCAATTACAGGCCAAGGTTTGGACAATTAAGTGCCCACCAAAACTAAAACATTTTATGTGGCAAGCACTTTCTGACTGTTTGGCGGTGACAGCACGACTACGTGCTAGAGGTATAAATTGCGACCCCCGATGTAGTCGCTGTGGGGCGGGAAAGGAAACTATAAACCATATTCTATTCGAATGTCCCCCGAGTTTTCAGGTGTGGGCACTTTCGCCAATACCTACACCATTACATCTTTTCCCAATGGAAGCATTGTATTCAAATATGGCACACTTGTTTTGGAATTTGCCAGATCAGGAGGATATGATGATGTACCCTTGGCTATTGTGGTATATTTGGAAAATGAGGAATGACAAGATTTTTAAAAACATTGATCGGGACCCCCGAGATGTTGTCAGGATGGCAATGGCAGAAGCAAATGCCTGGGCCGAGGCGCAAAAACAAGATATAACGGGTGAAGTCTCACTTCCACTTCAAAACGAGAGTTACTCCAGGGAGGGTATCCTCTGTTACACTGACGGGTCATGGAAAGAGGATGCCCCAAACACAGGGTTAGGCTGGTTTAGCAAAGATGTAAATCTGTCGTCTACATTAATGGGGGCTCGAAAATTGGGTAAGAGTTTGTCACCTCTACATACAGAGCTAGAGGCACTTATTTGGGCAATGCATTGTATGCTCGATGTTGGACGATACTCAGTGTCCTTTTTTACGGATAGTTTGGAATTACTGAAGATGGTGACGGACCCAGAAGGATGGCCAGCATTCTCACTACATCTAGAGGAATATGAAGTGACTAGACAGGAGTTTGCTCGTTTCTCCATCTCGAAGATCCCACGCGCGCAGAACACGAATGCGGACAAATTAGCACGAAGTGCTAGAGATCACCCTTTCCATCTTTGTTATGTAAACTCAACACCTCCTACATGGTTATCACCATTTTAGGATAATTGTTGAGGCTGTTGACAAAAAAAAAAAAAAAATCCTTATAAATTTGGTGGTGTAATTTATAAAAGATTTAATAGAAGTTTTAAAATGTTTATTAAAAATGTTTCGGGTGCTCGAACCAAAGAACTTAAGGTAAACTAGAGGGCGTGTGTAACCCCCAAGGCTGTGGTGTTTTAATTGTCATATCAATGATTGTAATTGTTTCTAAATAATATATGTTCATTTTGTAAAAAAACAAAAAAACCCCCCATCAATTCCTCATCGAGAGAAATGACACTGTATCAATAAGAGGTACTCATTTTATTCTTTTTTTTGCATTGAAACAATCAATTTCTTCTATTATCATCTAGGGAAGAGATACAACTTTCTCTGGTGTTTGGTGGCGTTTGCACCGCTTCGTCCTTATTTATATATATTCTGATTCCCCCATTATTTCACCGTCACTGATTTCACAGATAGCAATGGCGATTTCGACCGCTTTGAAAGATCTCCATATGGCTTTCAGGAAAATTAAAAACCGTCCTTTTGACTTATTTTCAACGCTTTGAAAGATCTCCATATGGCTTTCAGGAAAATTAAAAACCGTCCTTTTGACTTATTTTCAACAGGTTTGGTTAAAAATGTTTAATATAGATATATAAGTTTTATTTGGTGCTTTGGGTTGGATTCATGTTTTGATTTCCGTAGATAGATGCGATTTTGGACTTTCGTTTGTGTATTTATAGTTGTTGGGTTCACTTACATTGGTTTGTACCTGTTCGAATCTAGTGGGTTAGTGATCACTTTCTGCGTCTTTTCTCTCTGTCTCTGTATAAAAAATAATTTGATGGCATGTTCTCTCGTTATAGATTTGAGAAAACCCCACATTTTTATGATCGAGACAGAAAAAATGTGAAGATTAAGTTGTTGTAGATCATTAATCTTTAAATGAAAACTTTCATTCAAATCTTGTTGTTGTAGACCATTAATCCTTTAGAGATGTTTTGTTTAGGTCCGGTGGATGACAACCTCTTCGAATGGGAAGCTGCAATTAAGGGACCAAAATATAGCCCTTATAGTGGAGGAACTTCTCTGTTAGCATGCATTTTTCCCCACGGTTTCCAATGAAGGCTCCAACTGTAATTTTTTCATACTTAATCTTGCTCTTATGCAACAACTGCTAATGTCTATGTCTAAATATTACGGGTTCCTCAATTTTCCAGGTCAAATTCAAAACCAAGGTGTTCCACCCCGATGTTTCTGACAAAGGAGATGTCTATCTGTAGATGCTGGACAATGGATGGGCTCCTGGTTTCACAATTCCTGATGTATGTGTTTCATCTTCTATTCGTTATAATTTAACTTTAATATCGGCAGTGAAGTATATTTATTAAAGAAACTTTCTTATTTTCTGAAAATAGATACTAATTCAGCTTTGGGGAATGCTCTTTACCCCAAGATTGAAGCTTCCTGATAAGGTGAATGAGAATACTCTGGTGTATGTCTCTTACAGGGAGAAGTTTAATAGAAAAGCTGCTGAGTGGACGCGATTATATGTTATGAATTAAGGAGTTCGTTTGTTTTATGACCACAATGCTATCTATGTTGTAATAAACTTTCAAACATCATAGTAATGTTTGAAAAATTTCTAAACTGCAACATTCTTAACTTTTTTATTATGAATAAATCAATTCCGTTTGCTTCACTATTAATGCAGATGGTGCTTCTAAATTGTTACTTGTATTGGTGATTTAAGAAGGCTTTTAAAACCATTTAAAAGGCTTATAAAACCATCCACAAAAAAAATTATATTCCTAGTTGCTCGAACCAGGAAATGAGTGTATTCGATGAGGGTGAGTACCCACTCAGATCTGCTTAAAAAGTATTTTATAAAGATTTAAAAGAGGTTTAAAAAGGTTTATAAAAAATATGTAATAGAATAAAGTAATCCAAATTTGGTCGAACCAAGGTATATTCCTAGTTGCTCGAACCAGGAAATGAATGTATTCGATGAGGGTGAGTACCCACTCGGATCTGCTTAAAAAGTATTTTATAAAGATTTAAAAGAGGTTTAAAAAGGTTTATAAAAAATATGTAATAGAATAAAGTAATCCAAATTTGGTCAAACCAAGGAACTCATGGGTAAGAAGAGGGCGTATGTAACCCCCAAGGCAATGATGTTTTAGTTGTCATATCTACAAATTATAATTGTATATATTAGTTATTTTTAAAATATACGTTTAAAACCATTTAAAAATGGCTTTTAAAATATCTTCAAGTTGCTCGAACCAGGGAACGAGTGTCTTTTAGAAGGCTTTTGTAACCCCCAAGGCTATGGTGTTTTACTTGTCATTGCTACGAATACAGTTGTATATTAGATTTTAAAATCTACGTTTAAAACCATTTAAAAAGGATTTTAAAAAGCTACTTAATCTTTTTTAATCTTAAAATGGGGTTTGAAATAGGGATCCCCTATACTTATAACCAATTGTTAATGCAAAACACCGCAAGCCTTTTCATTCAAAACCTCACCAACACAAATAACAATAATGTAATAAAATGATAATGTAATAATATTATACTGTTTAATAGGAGAGTAAAATCAAAGATTAGCTCAGATTGGGGCTATGCATGTAGATTTGTTGTGTCCACTCTGATCACACCTACCACATTGGTAATTTTTTTGATTTGGTACAAGACTTGCCATACTCCCAACCAGAAGGAATCCTCTTTTTCTTTTGCCTCCCACTAGGGATGCGAGTAGAAGGTGGAAGACAAATAAAATTAGCTCATTAGGAGGGATGGCCCAATAAGTCTTATCTTCGACAGGATAAATACTCTCTGCATATGCTAGTATCCACCTGTGAGAAGATAATATGATTAGCTATATAGAATAACACGAAATGAATCAAGAATAAAGGCATAGACAAAAAGAGGCAATAGTACCTTTCTTTGGAGAAACAATCATCGACATAGTTATTTTCGTTGTGTTTTGCAGCTTTGGCGGCCGCAATCGCATGAGCACAAGGAAATCTTTGAATATCAAACACACAACATGTGCATTGCCTTGATATCAAATTCACAACCTCCTTTCGCTTGTCACCCTTAACCTCAAACTCAAGCTGATTGATTGGACACACTTCAAGCCACCGTGATGAACTATCATAGAATTCCTTCATTCTCTTCCCGACTTCTAATGTCACAGGGTGCGGATGACGTGAACTCATCTCATGCCTTTCGTGGAACCACCATGTCAATATAGACCTAATGGTGTCAAACAGGCACACTATAGGGTATTCGCGAGGGATAGTTAACAAAGAGTTAAGAGATTCTGCAAGGTTTGATGTCATGATGTTATAGCGAGTGGAAGGTGCATAAGCGCGTGACCTTTTCGTGACATCAGCTTTCACCAGATAATCTGCAAGCAATGGATGAGCATTCTTGATCTCGTTAAACAGAAGATTAAAGTCATACTTAGTGTAAGCCTTGATTGCCTCCTGAACCAAAGCCATAAGAGAAGCGTCCTTGAAATGTGATTCCACGTTTTTCTCAAAATGAAAACTGCAGATGCCATGATGAGCCAGTGGGTAATTTATCGAAACACCTTTCGCAATAGATTGTGCGCGATCCGACATAAACACTAGAACTTCCTCATCCGGAATGATAGTCTTCAGGCACCTCAAAAACCACTCCCACGAGGCATCATTCTCAGAGTTAACTACCCCGAAAGCAATGTGATATAATTGAAAGCTACCATCTTACGCTGTGGCACCAAGCAAAATCCCTTTAAATTTTGCCTTCAAGAAAGCACCATCGATAGCAACTACTTTCCTTAGCACCTTAAAACCTCTAATGGATGTGCCAAAAGACAAGAAAGTGTACTTGAATTTTCCAGCATTATCTACCTCAATGTAAGTTGCAGACTCGGGATTCTTTTGCTTTACCATGTGAAAATAACTTGGCAGAGCTTCATAGCTATCTTCTGGAGTACCTCTAGCAATCGCTTGGGCATGTTCTTGAGCTCTCCAAGCTTTTGAATATAAGATAACGACACCATGATCCTTTCTAGCTTTTTCTATTATCTGTTTAGGTCTCAATCCAAGCTTCCCTCCATCGTAATGATTACTTAACATAGTACCCAAGACCCTTGCGCTTGCTTACCGATGGTTAACATGCCTTAATGATGAGTCACAAGTATGCTCGTGCACATACTGCCGAACAACAAAGCTTTCGGAGCCCATAACTCTTGTTGCACGAAATCTCCAGCTACAACTTTCATCAACACAACATAGAACATAGCGTTTCCTGTCTGATAATTCAGTGCGGAACTCAAAGCTATGAAGCATCAAAAACATTCGTAGCTTAGTGCCCATTTCATTTTTGTCTTTGAATAGCTTTCCACAATACACACCTTCATTATCGAAAGCAACGGATTGTGAGGAACCAGATGGAGCCGCACATCCTCGATCAAGGGATGATGACAATTGCGAAATTCCTGACATTGTACTTGAATTCGATCGTCTCTGCAGAATAGAAACATCCATATATATCAGGGATGAATAGATTATAAAACCTTTTAAAAGGCTCATTTTTATAAGCATACCACAACTGGGGTAATGGATGGAGCAGTGAAACTCTCTTCAAATTGCAAAATTGAAAAGCCCATTGCAAGATTTTGTAAGTCCCATTGAGTACATTATATTCATTCATAAAAATTAGTTGTAAGCCATGCCAAAGCTTCATGAAAATACCTCATTCACAACAAAGTGTGGGGCAGCAGGGGCAGTAAAACTCTCATTACTTATATGAATGTTGTTTCTAACCATGAATGAACGAGAGTTTGTTCTCTCTGTAACATAAACATTATACTTCATGAATTTGCTTTGTAATCATAGACACAAAATAATTATAGTAATTACCTCATATATAGCACGAAGGGGGCAACGATGGGAGCTAGAAACTTCAGTAGCAGGTTCCGTACTCTTTATTTCCTTCATTGTCACACATAACTCAAAAAATCCTCCACTCTCTTGAATTTTGTGCATAAAAGTTTCTAATTGCCAATCATTCCTAATGACCATAGGAGGGAGTTGTTTTGACGCTAAAAGAGAGCTTGAAAGTGATCCGTAGCTAATTTTCAGACCATTGGCATTGCCATCAATTCTAAAATCTTCTAAAACAATCGCAACCAGCTCGTTATAAGTTATGTTCTCTTTGATGAGTATAAAAGAAGCTCCTCTGTCAGGATCAACAACGAACGTCCATTGTGTGGTATTAGTTAAATTCCAAGCTCCACACACAAAATATATCTCAAGCATTTCGCCTAGTGAGAAGAATATAACAATTTATAAGGATTTACAAATTTACAAAATCCATCGTCACTATCGGAACCTCTTCTTCACAAAATCAATCGGAACCTCTTCTTCGCAAATTGGATATCTACTTATCACGAAAATTTATAATCGACAACACATCATCCTTTCCCCTAAAAATCATATGCCAATAAATCATAATTTCCTAGAAATTCAACAAGTTAACCCCGATTTGACAGAATTAGAAGGTTCATACCTTTGCTCAATAAATCCAGCAGAAAATCGCCAGCAAGAGACGATGTGATTCAGTTAGTACGATACGAAATCGCCGGCGAGATACGAAATCGCCGATGATCACTGTCGTTCGTTCTTCTGTTTCGATATCGGGGTTTTTTCGGATTGAGAACGTGTTATATATACAAGGATATAATACTCAATAAAAAATGGTATTTTTGATTGATGGTAGTTTTGAAAATAGTAATTAGAAAAATAGTATTTCTCAAAATTTCCCAAAAGCAAGACAAACGGAAAATAACACATTCAGAAAATATGGATATTATATGTTATATATATATGTGGTGGTGCCGTGGTGGTTAATAGTGGATACTTTGCTGAACTTCATATATGTATATATGTGGTGGTGTGGTTAAGAATGCATGCAGCGAAAGAAGCTACAGTTCATGAACATACTTGGTGACGTTGCACAAATAAGGTTAGTACTTCTCTCGCATTACTACTGTTTCATATGTTCTGCCACAAATGTATTTGTACTTTCTTCGAACAAAAGAAAAGAGTACAACTTCGAAATGATTGTAACCTTATAAAACTTATATTTCTTCGATAGCCAAAAAAAAAAATTTCTGAAGATGATGTGAAAAGGATTTGAATAAACACCGTTTTGGCATGTGGGTTTAGAAATAGCATTCGAAACTATCTGAGCGAACATTTTTTTCTTCTCCGCCGGGTAGGTTTTGGTGTGATCGGAGTCTTACTTTCAAGCCCTTTGGATCTATAAGAGAGGCTAAGAAGAGAAATGGGACATACTTTGTTTCTGATAACCATTCTTTTGGGTTTCGCTTTCTCAGGGAGATGCAACGATGTTTACAGCAGGAACGATTTCCCGGAGGGATTTGTATTCGGATCTGCTTTTTCTGCTTTTCAGGTTTTTCAATTCGAACTAACTTTTGTTTTATTTTGCCTTACAAATGGTCTGTTACAAAAAAAAATTGAAATGAATAATTGGTTTTGATCTCTCAAAGTGGGAAGGAGAAGGAAGCCTAGCATGTGGGATACATACGTTCATTCTCGTAAGCTCTTTCACAAAGCAAATTTGAGTTTTAATTCATAAAGTAGCAATCAGTCTTTTAGGTGTAAAAACTCAAGTTCGATCTACAAAAGAACTAGGGGTTGAGGGTTTTAAAGAGATCTTTTATTAGAA